GTACATAGGTAGCTTTTTGCCTGGATAAGCTTATAGATTCCTGTTTTCCAATTTTCATGCAATTTCGAATATAAATAGCTTTAAGTAACGACCATATCAAGGGGCGAATTCGTCTCTAGGCAAGATTTTTTTGCGCCAATCAGAAACAACGGATACTGTCAAAATATAATTATAATATATAATATATCTCAACTAATTTATATTTAGAAAGCCGTTTGTTAGTTTTCGCAAGGCTCGAGAGCGGCTGAACCGATTTTTTTGAAACTGCCACCTGCCGCACGTGTCCCAAGGATGGTTTTAGGCTGAAAAATCTATATGTAAAGGGGGCGTGGCACTTCCCATACAAACCGAATTTCTCATGCTACATATCTCTGAAAGTGTGCATGGTAGAGTTTTGGAAATTGGTATGGAGATATACGAAATCGATCGCATACCCTTGGAGAAAAATGTTAGCTATAGTAAAAAGGGGTGTGACATCTCCCATACAAACCGAATTTTTTATACTGCTTATCTCTGGAAATTTTTTGGTAGAGTTCTAGAGTTTTGTATGGAGATGTACGAAATAAATCGCATACTCTTGGAGAAAAATTGGAACTATTGGAAAAGGGGGCGTGGCATCTTCCATACAAACCGAATTTTTCATACTGCCTATCTTTGGAAGTGTTCATGGTAGAGTTCTGGAACTTGGTATGGAGATATACGAAATCAATCATACTCATGAAGAAAGAGGGCAGCTGTTGGAAAGGGGGGCGTGGCTCCTCCCATATAAATCGAATTTTTATACTGCATATCTCTGAAAGTATTCATGGTACAGTACTGGAACTTCGTATGGAGATATGTATATAGTTGAAATCAAGCCCATACTCATGGAGAAAATTTGGGCTATTTGAAAAGGGGTGTGAGGCCTACAAACCTACCTTTAGCTATCTTTGAATGAATTTTTGTATTCTCCTGTAGGTGTGTTTGTGAGTGAAACCCTCCTAAATGGTTGTACGGATTTTAACGAAACTTTTTGTGTTTTTGAGTGAGTCTCTGGATGGTTTAGTTTCACAATTTAATCCGACAGTTGGCGCTGTAGTTGAGTTATTACTAAAAATCTTATTTATGATCCGATTTGGCTAATGTTTTAAATATGTATGCAATACTATTGCAAAAACGTGCTGCCAACTGGTGCTGAAGTCGAGCTATTACTAAAAATAGCCAAGTGAGAAAAGGGGCCGTGAAGTTCAGATTAAATCGACCTGTTGCACCATTGAGTATATCGACGGTCCTGCGTTGCAATTGGCCCAATGGATGTGATTTTCCAATACTATTGTGCGTTCAAACTTTTAAGGTATTTCGTCTGAAATAAGTATATGTATACTGCATTTCTGTAGAACAATGATTCGCACCCATTTTGAAATTGCCACCTACTATACTGTAAAGCTTCTAGGACATTCACTATAGAACCGGGTCATTGTTGCCGCCAGGGAGTGAAGAGGAAAAAATTTATTTCGCTTTGCGAATAACCGTGCTATGAAATGCCGCACAACTGGAGAATTTCAAGAACGGATATAACACTTTCCTTAGGTTATTTAAAGCGGCAAATGACCACCAAACCTTAATCTTAGCAGACAAATGTGCCAATGAAAATCGTAGACGTGAATTGTTGGTGAAAATGTTGGACCAAAAAGTTTCAATAAAATATATAAAAATTTTGGGCGGGACGAAGGTCGCCGGGTCTGCTAGTATTTTATATACATCAAGAATGGACTAATGCTAACAAAATGTTGTCGGACAAAAAGGTATCGGTTCGATATTATACATACATACAAGAGCGTCGGCCGCTGTGGTGTAGTGGTAAGCAGTGCGCGCTTTCACTCATCAACACCTGGGTTCAAGCCCTGGTCAAATCAACATCGCAAAAAATATAGAACAAGGTTTTTTCTTAACAGCGGTCGTCCCTCGGCAGGCAACGGCAAACCGCCGAGTGCATTTCTGCCATGAAAAACAGCTTCTCATAAAAATACAATCGCCGTTCGGAGTCGGCGTAAAACTGTAGGTGCCTCCGATTTGTGTGACAACATAAAGGCGCACGCCACACATCGGAGGAGAGGCTCGGCCAAACACTAACATATGTGTAAGCCCCAATCTATTATTATTATATTATTATTACTAAGAGCGTGTGTGAATCGGTAACAAAGTTCGCGAGTAAATTTTTGACAACTATGAGGTGAATAAAATTTCAGTAGCTTATGAGGCTAGTGAAATTTTTGACAAATGCATAGAAAATTTTGACAATCGCAAGGATGGTTGATGTGTGTAATTTTTCGTTAAATAAAAGCTTAAATTGATGAATTGCAATCAACGGTGGTAGATGTTTTCTTAAAATATTAATTTCACTTCAATTTTTAATATTTTATTCCGCATAAATCTGCGGTTATCAAAAATTTACTGCTGTCAAAAAAGATTTCATTTCACACAGCAGATTGACAAAACTGTCTCACCATAGTAAAAATATTATTCAACAGCTTTCACCATAGAACTTTGTTACCGATTCACACACGCCCTAAATGCATGACAGTGGGTCATAATAGTTTACATAGAGTTAGCTTAGAATATGTAACCGGATATATTTTGAACGAACCAAATTTTAATGACTAAAATTGGCCTTGAATCGATCAAATTGGAGAAAATGTGGACAAAATCGTTAGTATACACATTTATGTGATGGTTGGTTTCTGAAAGTAATGATGTAACTTTGCGGAATAGTAAAATAAAAAAACTTCTTTAAGCGCCGCATCCATTTTGGAATATTTAAATAAAACAATTAAAAAGAACGAGTTATAACAGAAACTAATACAAAATAAAAATTCGAAATAAATAAGCGAGATTTTTATTTGAACGGACTTTAATGTTTTTTCTTAATGATTTGGGCTACTTTTAAATTGTTGTCTGACTAAGGGTTAATAGCAGAAATGAAAAAACGAAAATAACATACAGCGAATTTCGGTGTCTAATATGAAGGCGTTAAACTACCTGGCAGACTTTATATTATTTCATTATAGTACTCAAACTTGCATTGGAGTAACATATGGAAGTTTTGACTACTGTGAATTTCGAAGATCACTTGCATATTGATAAATGAAAGTTTTTAAATCGTTATACGTTATATAGTCAGCCAATAGAGTTTAGGAACAGCGAATTTTTACAATACAGGTAACTATTTTTTAAATATTTTATTTTTCGATAATTTTGTATAAAAATATGGTTAATTCTACAACAAAAAACCCAAAAATCAGAGTTCCAAACCTTGTGCAAAATGAAAGAAAATTCTGCAAAAATTCATTCAAATATTGCACTTTTTATTTACGCTCTCTAGAAAAAAGTTGAGTATTCAGTTTTTTAGCCCATTTAATTTTAGTATAATAAAGTGCAAGTTTGAGGTAGCTAGGACTTACCATTGATTGAAGTGAAACTTCTTTAGCGGCGGTTGGTTGGTTGGGAGTAAATTGGCAAATTCAAAGGAAATTGCACTCGGAAATGGTGCAACGGAAATGATGCAACGGAAATGGTGCAACGGAAAATGGTTGGGGCTGAAACAAGTGGTATTAATTTAACAAGAATTTGCTAATAAAAGGTTAAAGAATAACACTTAGAAAAATACCAATACAAGAATGAAAGTAAAGGTGAGTACGTACATAGATAAAGAAAAGGATAAAGGCAAAGGTAAAAATAAAAACAAAAACAAAGGCGCGTAAAGATATAGGCAAAAATGAAGACCAGGGTTAATTTAAACACTTATATATATTAGGGCAAAGGTGAAGGGGAATATGTAGATGAAGAAAATTATAAACATAAAAGTAAAGACAAAGGAGGAGGATGAGGATACCGATAAAAGTAAAGATGAAGATAGGGGAAGAAAGATTAAAATAAAGGTAATTAAAGAGGAAAGGATTTAGAGAGAGACACAGAGACTTAATCTGGGAACTATTTTGAGATTTTAGAGAATTTCGGGATTCTCGGGACTTATCGATAAAATAATCGATATTTTTTATCGGTTTTGTAATCCATATTTTTATCGATTTGTTATCGATTTTGTAATTGATATTTTTAACTATTTTGTTAGCGATACTTTTAACAATTTTGTTATCGATATTTTTATCGATTTTGTTATCGATATTTATCGATATTTTTATCGATTTTGTTATTGGTATTTATCGGTTTTGTTATCTATATTTTTATCGATTTTGTTATCGATATTTATCGATTTCGTTATCGAAATTTATCGATTTTATTATCGATAATTATCGATTTTATTATCGACATTTATCGATTTTGTTATGGATATTTTTAGCGATTTTTAATCGATTTTGTTGTGGATATTTTTATCTATTTTTTTATCGATTTTGATATCGATATTTTTATCGAATTCGTTATCGATATTTATCGATTTTGTTATCGATATTTATCATTTTTGTTATCGATATTTATCCATTTTGTTATCGATATCTATCGGTTTTGTTATCGATATTTATCGATTTCGTTATCGATTTTGTTATAGATTTTGTTATCGATATTTATCGATTTTGTTATCGATATTTATCGATTTTGTTATGGATATTTTTATCGATTTTGTTATGGATAATTTTATCGATATTTTTATCGGGTTTCTAATAGATTTTGCTACCAATATTATTATCGATTTTGCTGTCGAAATTTTTATCGAAATTTTCGTCGATTTTGTTATCGACATTTTTATCGGTTTTGTAATCGATATTTTGTTGGATGTTACTATCGATGTTGCTATCGACAGAGTAAAAAGATAAAAATGAAGATAAAGGAATACAGAATAACATAAATGTAATTAGAACGAACAGGGGTAGAAGTAGGGATCTAGATAGAAAGAAGAAAAAATATATAACCTTAAGCAAAAGCAGATGTATGTATGTATGTACATTGTACGTATATTGGTTATGAGACAAAATAGATATGTAGATATATAACTGTTTCAGCGAGCGATTAAAAGGGAGTTATTCTTCCGAATATTTTAGAACTCTTTATTGCGGTCTTATTTTAAAGAAACTAGGTGTTGATAACAATATGTAGAGGAACTAAAAAAATTTCGTTTTAACACTCCGACGCCTCGCTATGAACTGAACTATGCTCGCGAAGTAGCCTTTGCTATACGTACGTGTGTATATGTATGTACATGCAGTCGTATGTTGGCAGGTGGAGTTTTAAAACGTAACTTTGTACATGTAAATGCTACATATTGTAAATATGTGAATATGTGAATAAGACAAAATGCAAATGGGAAAAGAACAGTAATGAGTAGAGCCTTTAAGTAAACACATATGTACAAATAATGTTATGCGATAGTGTTTTCGGCGGCAACATCCTCCCCCTCGCAGATGAGCCCTGGCGCGAGTCTGCAATTATCTCTGCCGACGTCCAATACTGCGATCTTTGCTGTAGGTCGGATCATCAGTCCGTGCTGGGTTTTTACTGTCGCTCGTCGAACTTGACCATCTTGCGCTACCACTATATCCGTAACTATGCCTTTAGGCCAACTATTTCTGGGCAACGTCTCGTCAATGATAATGACAACATCTCCTATGCGTAAGGGTGGTCGTTTAGTGAACCATTTAGCCCGTCTTAGTAAATTCGGTGCATATTCTCTAACCCATCGTTGCCAGAATCGGTCAGCAAATAGTTGAGTTTGTCGCCATCGCGTTCTTAAGTCAGTATTATCGCCGCATAGAATTTTTTCGCCGTCAGGCGAACCAAGCAAAAGGTGGTTCGGTGTTAAGGCGTCGTCATCGCCGCTGTCCAATGATACAAACGTGAGCGGACGGGCATTCAGAATAAATTCTACTTCACATAGCGCACTTCTTAAGCTTTCATCTTGAAATCGTTCGGTCGGGCACATTTTGTGAAGAACTGTCTTGACGGACCTTACCAGGCGTTCCCATGAACCGCCCATGTGCGGTGCGCCCGGTGGATTGAATCTCCACTTTATGCCATCGAACTTTTTTTGAAGCGCCACAAAGCTGACATTTTTAAGCTCTTCGCGGATTAATTTAGCTGTGGCTTTAAAATTCGTCCCGTTATCCGAAAATATTTCCTTCGGCGTACCTCTTCTAGCGATGAAATTTCGCAGGCACATAACGCACGAGTTGGTGTCAAGGCTGAAGGCAACCTCCAAATGTACGGCACGTAGCGTGAGGCAGGTGAATATGACACCCCACCGCTTTTCCCTGTGTCTACCAACGGTGACCATAATTGGTCCGAAATAGTCGACCCCTGTAAAGGTGAACGGTCGCTCGTGGCTAGCCAGCCTTGATGCAGGTAAAGGTGCCATCTGTGGAAAATCGGGCTTCACGTTGTCGATTTTGCACCTTTGACAGCTTTTACGCACTGTTTTATACAGCACACGCAGTTTTGGTATGTAGAACTTTGATCGAATCAAATTCACAGCAGTTTCGTGCGATGTGTGATGAAGCATCTCATGGCAACCTTTTACAATCAAAAATGTCACGTAATGGCTTTTGGGAAGAATTATAGCGTCGGTGTGGCTATTTAAGCTATTCGCTCTGCCCTGCATTCGCAAAACTCCGTCCTTATCCAAGTAGACGTTAAGTGCTATTAACGAGCTTTTTCGCTCGACTGGATGCCCTCTGCTTAAAAGACACATCTCGGATTGGTATGTTGATTTTTGCGCCTGTTTATAAAGCGCTAATTTGGCCCTTTGTAGATGAACATACGCCAGGTGAGTCGGTTCGGGCGCTTTACACCGGCGCGCATTTACCTTTGCCAGATATAGAATCCATAGGGCAACAGCTCGGTATAGCCTTCGCCAGTCTGAGTAATATTCAACAAACATGTTGACGCACGGTGTTGCATGCATATGTAATACGCATTTTCTTGTTTCAGACTGATTTGTTGGTCCAAGATCTGCACAGATGGGCCATTCCTCTTCGCATTGTTGAAGAAAAGACGGACCACAGAGCCACATTTGGCTATCAATTTTTTTGTGAATTTTTGTGGAAAGGTCCGCTGCATTGGATTTTGAAGGTACCCACCGCCATTGGCCGGCATCTGTAGTTTCGAGCAGTTCTCCAATACGATGCATAACATATTGATTGAATCCTCGTGGGTCCATTTTCAGCCATCGCAGAACTGTTTTCGAGTCTGACCAATAAAAACAGCTGTGTGTAGTTAAATTGCGGGTGCCCTTGACCTTCTGTGTAAGTCGAGCACCGATCACGGCGGCCTGGAGTTCGAGCCTGGGTATAGATAACGGCTTGAGTGGTGCGACCTTCGACTTGGCCGCGACGAGTGAAACTGTAACGTCATCACCACACTGAACGCGTAGGTAACAAGCGGCGGCATACGCGGCTTCACTGGCGTCTACAAATGTATGGATTTGTATATTTGATGCGTCTTGGAGTAGACGAGAATAACATCGGGATATTTCAATACTCGAAATGTGTAGCAGTACTGTTTTCCACTGATGCCACGCCGGATGAAGTTTCGGTGGCAGTTCATCATCCCAGCCGCAGCCCAGTTGCCACACTCGTTGCAGCAGAATTTTTAGGCTGATCGTATACGGTGCTAAAAGGCCCAGGGGATCAAATATGGACATCAGTACCTGAAGAGTTTCCCGCTTAGTCGGTATGACATCATCGCGAAGAACATCTCTTTTTAGTCTTGCAAATCTGAAAGTGTACTTAAAAACATCTTTGTTGGGGTCCCAATACATACCAAGAACTTTTTCTGAATCGCCGAGTGTGACAGGCGCTTGAATTTCATCACACGTAAGTTGAAGGGATCTCACGACCTCAGCCGAGTTGGAGGCCCAGTTTCGTATAGCAAAGCCACCAGCTGCATGAATGGTGCGAACCTCGTCAGCTAACGCCCGAACTTCATCTTCGTTATCCATTGAGTCGATAAAGTCGTCGACATAGTGTGCTTCTTTTATGGCTTCGCACGCCCGTGGATACTTATGCTCGAACGATTCAGCATTCGTATTGCGCACGTAGTGTGCTATACAAGGGGCACACCGAATACCAAACGTCATCGCCTGCATGACGAAAATTGTTGGGTCATCCTCTTCGCTGTTTGGCCACCACAAAAATCGCTGTACGTGCATATCATCCTTTCTGATGTTAATTCGGTGAAACATCTCAGCGATGTCACCGCATATAGCCACTTTGCCTACTCGAAAAGCCATTAGAACGTCGATGAGCGGTTTCAGTAGGTCGGGACCGGTCATCAGAAAATCATTGAGAGAGTGTCCGTTTGCCTTTGCGGCAGCATCCCACACCAGGCGCGCCTTTTTAGGCTTATTTGGGTTTAATGCTACGAAGATTGGCAGATACCACACGCGACCATTTTCAGCAAATAACTCTGCTTCGGATACCTCTCTGGCGTAGCCCTTAGATAGTAAATTGCCGATTCGCTCGTGAACAGTTGCTCTGAGCACCGCATCGCTTTGCATTTTAGCTTTTAAAGCCTTTGCACGTTTCAATGCCGCTGGATAACTATTTGGCATACTCACTTGATCACTTTTCCACAATAGACCGACTTCATATTTATCACCGACCTTTTGGCACGTGTTTTTCAAAATGTCGATAGATTTGGCCTCTTCGCTGGACGTCATGTTTCTTGGTGCGACAGTTTCTAGATCAAAACTGTTTTTCACTGCCTCGTGTATCTCTTCCCAGTCGCATGAACAGTTGTGTACGTTGGCAAATGCCCTTTCAGACTTCCCGCTGGCACCCTGTATTGACCAGCCCAAAATGCATTTAGTTGCAATTGGTTCACGCCATTTCCCTTCTCGCAATTTCCGAGGAACTGCCAGTTTCCAATTATTGATACCAATGAGTATAACCGGACTTGCATTCGTGTACGAAGATATCGGTACGCCCAGCAAGTGGTTGTACCTTTGTTTTAAGATGCTGATATTGACCGTTTGCCGCGGGAGGGACAGGTTGGCGACGGTGTGCACGTCATTGAGCCAAAACTTACGACTACTGCCGACTGCTGATATTTGCATCGATCCGCGAACCGATTTTTTCTCGGTCCTCGTAGTTTCGTTGGTCCAGCGCAGGCAAAGCGGATCTGGTGTGCCCTTAAGCTTTAATTCATTGAATATCCGTTGGTCAATTAGCGTGACCGATGAACCTTCGTCCAAAAAGGCATATACTTCTATGTTTTTCTCACCATTATACAGCTTAACTGGTACGATGCGAAACAGTTGTGAGCTTTCCTCGGCTTGTGATTGGTGGGCGCTTACCGGATTTTGAAAGTTTTCAGCACCTGTTGCAGATCCGTTGCGCTTAATGTGTAGCCGGGAGTGGTGTCTTGACTTGCACCCGTCTACACCGCACACCTTCTTCGAAAAGCATCGTCCTTTGTGAAGTTTTAGGCACCTGCGGCAAATGTCATTGTTTGTTACAAATTGCCAGCGTTTTTCGACAGTCATCCTTTCGAATTCTTTACAGTCGACCATTCGGTGATTTTCGATTTTGCATACACTACATGTATTCCTATCTTTTGTATCGATATTTTCCACGTGAGTGTGAACGTGCTGCGTTTTCGATGTCGATATTGATACAACCTTAGAAGCAGCTTCGGCCAAATTATAGATCCAGTCGCTGAAGGCTTTCATAGATGGGACGGATTCGTCTCTGTTGTGCATAGCCCAGCTTAGTTTGTGCTGGTTCGGTAGCTTATCGACCAACTCTTTCACAAGCATAGGGTTTTCTAGATGTGCGTTTAATTTGCATGCTTGCATTGTAGCGCAAATACTGCGTACACCGAGCGCGTATTCGATTAACGTTTCCAGCTTTTCTTTAGGCGCTGGCATTTTACGGACTTTTTCGATGACACGCTCAAGAATCAGCTCTGGTCGTCCAAAAAACGTTTTTAACGTGTGTATGACTTCGTTTACCATTGACGGTACAAGCAGCTTGTCTCTCACCACATCTAGACCTCTACCCTTTAAGGCCTTTTGAAGCCGTAACATATTTTCGACATCGGTGAACCCAGCTGCGCTCGTACTATTCTCGTATATGCTGATGAATGTTGGCCAATCGACTGGATCGCCACTAAAACTTGGTAAATCTTTCGATATAGCTTGCCTTGTCGCTATTTGCGACGATGTTAACGCATTTTGCGGTTGCAGGATTGACGAAAATNTGTGCGACACCTTCAACAAAAATTTCCCAAAAATCAATGGTAAGTCCTAGTTTCCTCATACTTACACTTTATTATACTAAAATTGAATGGGCTAAAAAACTACATACTCAACTTTTTTCTAGAAAGCGTTAATAAAAAGTGCAATATTTGAATGAAATTTTGCAGAATTTTCTTTAGTTTTTCACAAGGTTTGGAACTTTGATTTTTGGGGTTTTTGTGTAGAATTAACCATATTTTTATAAAAAAATAGCAGAGCACCCGACTTCGTTCGGGGTAAACAAATCAAAATATAAAACAGTAATACAATTATTCAGCTCAGAGGAGGAAAACTATTTTCTTTCCGTTTAAATTAAGGCATCCTTATGAGCCATACTTTTAGCTTTATCGTAATTCAACTGATATATATTGATCATCATTTTCTGTACTAAAAATCTTTTTCCATTATTAATATTAACTGAATTAAGGACACGATAGAATTTTTAAATTAAAATTAGTCTACTATGGTACATTCCGTTTAGCTTCCTATTCGCTAAGCTGTTTTAGTATAGCTGCACTTTTCCGGTAGAATGCTTATTTCAGAAGTAGTTTTATTCATTATACACGAACATGTTTCGTTTGCTGATAAAAAATTCCACGCGTACGGGATGTGCCACGCCCCCTTTTATAAACTCATTCATACACACCTTACTGTAAGAACCTACCGTAACTGTACCTGCATACCAAATTTCAAGTTCGTGGGGTTTATGGTTCCCAAGTGGCCCAGGCGCACTTACTTTTAACGAATTTATATCTTAATGGCCTTGAATGCAATTATAATATAATTTCTTTGACTGAAACTTGGCTCAAACCTCACACTTTTAATTCAGAGATTCTTTCAAATAATTATCATATCTACAGAAAAGATCGGGAGGACAGAGTCGGCGGTGGCGTACTCTTTGCCGTAGACTCTTCAATACCATCTGAAGAAGTTAGTCTTCCACACATCGAATCTGCAGAATTCAAATGCATTCGTGTTCAGGTTGGAAGGGGGTTTACTTACTTAGCTCTATGCTATATTCCTCCCCGATCTGACTTATCAGTGTATTCACAACATGTATCTTTACTGAAATCAATTAATTCAATGATTAAACC